TTCCATCAATTCCTGGTGCCTTTTCCTTTGCCAATTCCTTCAATGCACCTTGGACTACCTCTTTCAGTATCATTGGCTCTTGGTCATATGTGAGAGTCAGAATCAAGTAGACTTTTGGTTTTTGGGGTTTTGTGATATATTTGACTTGCCCTGTGATCACTTACAAACATGTGCTTGATTAGTTCTGGTGGTGCAGTGGTTAAATACTCAGCTGGCAACCAAAGTGTTGGCGGTTCGAATCCACCAACCCTCTGGGAGACAGATGTGGCAATCTGTTACCATTGTTATTTAGTGCTGTTGAGTCGATTCTGACTAATAAAGACCCAAGGAGCAGCTGGTGGGTTTGAACTGCAGATCTTATGGTTCGAAGTCCAGCGTTCATCCTACTGCGCCACACCAGGAGTCCAGTGGGGCAGTTATACTCTGTTATAAGGTGGCCAGGAGTCTGTCTGTACCAACTCCATGGCACTGAGGTTTATTTTTTCAGTCTAGCTTTTGTAACTTGTTCCACAAGAGGGCACTGTGCACCACTACTGCTGTTCTAGCTAAAGTCAAGGCTAGGAACTCAGGTACCATTTCTGTTATTTTGCCTCAGATAGTGTTTAGTACTAGAAATGACCCATAAGGGTAGATACATTCTCTTTCTCATTTAATGCTGGACCACAGGAACCTAAACATGACTGGCATATTGAACTGAATTGAATGGAAACACCCAGCCCAATGTTCCATTGAGTGGATACACAAAACATTTTACCATTTCAAGTACTGCACTGCTGCTCTTGATTTCCTTTTCCTTTGTTTGTGTGTGTGATTTGGGTGAAAATTCACAGAGCAAATTAGTTTTCCATCTCCAAATACTATTTTAAACGAAACAGTCAAAGATCCTATAGAAACTTCTGGGCCAGTGGAGCAGAGTAAAAACTAGCTGGATGACTGACCAGACTGACCCATTAGTTAGTATCACTGCTTAGACAACAAAGCTGGGGACTGAAATAATTCCTATTGTTTCCAGCATTCCAGAAGTCATGGCCAACACTTTAGAGGTGACTAAGTCAGAGCTCTGGCTCATAGTGGTTACAGGTTGGGCTGCTAATCTCATGGTCAGCAGTTCGAAGCCACCAGCCATTCTGTGGGAGAAACATGAGACTTTCTGCTCCTATAAAGAGTCACAGCCTCAGAAACCCTACATAGGGTTGCTGTAAGTTAGAACTGATTAGACAGCATTTAACAACAACAATAACAGCGTGTCAGAGGCTTGGTACCAACTCAACAGTACTTAACAACAAGTCAGAGGCGTGTGATAATGCTTTTAGATGCCATAGAGTTGGTTCTGACTCATAGTGACCCTATGCACAACAGAACCAAATGCTACCTGTGTCTGCCTCACAGTTGTTATACTTGAGCCCACTGCTACTGCCACTGTGCCAATCCATCTTGTTGGGGTACTTCCTTGTTTTTTTTTGCTGACCCTCCACTTTACTAAGCGTAATGTCCTTCTCCAGGGACTGGTCCCTCCTGATAACGTTTCTGAGGTATGAGAGATGAAGTGTGGCCACCCCTGGCTTCTAAGAATCATTCTGGCTGTACTTCCAACACAGGCTGGTTTGTTTTTCTGGCAGGCCAAGGTACTTTTACTATTCATCTCCAACACCGTGACTCAAATGCATGAATTCTTCTATGGTCTTCCTTGTTCACTGTCAAACCTTCACATACACATAAGGCTATTGAAAATGCCATGGCTTGGGTCAGGCATGAGTTCAAACTGACAGCTCTGCTCTTGAACACTTCAAAGAGGTCTTGTGCAGCAAAATTTGCCCAATGCAATGCGTTATTTGACCTCTTGACTGCTGCTTCTTTAAGTGTTGATTGTAGATGCAAGCAAAATGAAGTCTTAGACAACTTGAATCTTGTTGTATTGATCAAGATGATAATGGGTCCAGTGTTGAATTTTTTTTTCTTCTTCTTTACATTGCTTTCAGCAAGCAAGGTTGTATCATCTGTATATTGCAGGTAATTAATGATAAGCAATTGAAATATCTGCAATCTTTACCTAACCAAAAATTCACGAAGGAGAGGGACTTTTAGACTATGGTGACATGGGGGTGCTATAACAAGACCACATCTAGTTCTCAGTGTTCTATGAGATTTTGCAGTTTATTTTAAGATTGGGACTTTAAAATACCTTTAGGCTATGCATTGTAAATGAGGATGTGTGCAGTCATCCTGTGACAGATACTATTCATTTTCCATCTGACCTCAGCGACCTCCTGGTAAGGATGTGATTTGTAGAAAGGCAACTGTCCTCTGAGAACACCACAAAACAGCAAAACCAAGCAATCTGAAAACCCATATCTTTTGGGGCAAGAGAAAATGGACCCTGTTTATTATTCCAATGTTTCTTTTGAGTGTCGTCACTGGCAAGACCCAAGCCTGGTCCTTGGGTTTGCAGTTCTTGACAGAATTATTGTCTTCCATTTCTGGTTTCTGGGGTCATAAGCGGCTTTCATAGGACAGTGATAAACAGCTTTTCAGAGCAGTGAGTAGAGTAATGTTTTATGAAGTGCTGTTGAGTTCCAACTCATAGCAACCCCGTATGGGGTTTCCAAGGAGTAACTGGTGAGTTTGAACCACTGACCTTGTGGTTTAAACTGACCTTGAGGTCGATGTATTATTGTTGTTAAGTGACATCAACTCAGTTCTGACTCATAGTGACCCCATATAGGGTTTCCAAGGAGTAACTAGTGGGTATGAACTGCCAACCTTTCAGTTAGCTGTCCAGTGCTTATCTTACAGCACCACACAGTTGCTGTTAAGTACTGTTGAGTTGGTGCTGACTCATAGCAACATTGCACAGGGTTTTCAAGGAGTGGCTGGTGAATTTGAACCACTGACTTTATGGTTCAAACTAACTGTGGTCCAGTCCTTCTCCTACAGCATCACAGCAGGACTTCTCAAATTGTCCCCCAAGTCATGGCAACAAAGTAGAACTGCTCCATAGGGTGTTCTTGGCTATAATCTTCATATGGAGCTCTGGTAGCATAGTGGTTATGAATCGGGCTGCTAACCTCAGGGTCAGCAGTTCGAAACTACCAGCTGTTCCACAGGAGAAAGATGAGGCTTTCTGCTCCCGTAAAGATTTAGATTTACAGCCTTGGAAACCCTGTACAGGGTCACTATGAGTTGGAACCCACTCCACAGCATATAGCAATAACAATCTTCATAAACATAGATTGCCAGATCTTTCTTCCATGGTGACATGGGGTGTATTTGAACGGTCAATTTTTGAGTTAACAGCTGATTATAAACCACTTGCTCCACTGAAGCTCCTAATAGTAACACTGTTGCTGTTCTTGTGAGCTACTGAGTTGTGCAGACTCATAGTGACCCTATATTGTGCTTCCGAGGCTATAAATCTTTTTTGGAACAGAGAGCATATCTCTCTCCCACAGAGCAGCTGGCATATTTGAACTGCCAACCCTGCAGTTAACAACCCAATGCATAACCCACTACACCATCAGTGTTCCCAATATTAACCTTGTTAAAATTCATTAAAAATCCATGCTTAGCAGCCAGGCACTTAACCGGTATGCCACCAGGGGTCTTTATTTTATATAAACTTTATAGAAATTGAATCATATCATATGTGCTTATTCCTGCCTGTCTTGAATTTTATACTAAAAGTTTATTCAGATTGTTGACTAATATGCAGACTGTTTATATTCTGCTTATATATGCTATCATATTTTGTCCATACACTCACACTGCAGTTCATCCGTTTTCCTGATCATGGACATTTGGATAGGATTCAGGTTGGGGCCATCACAAATAGTGTGGTTTTGCACACTCATATACATATCTTGATGTAGCGCTGTGGGTTAATGGTCTGAACTGCAAAGTTGGTTTGAATCACAAGGTCGGCGATTCAAGCTCACCAACTGCTCCTCAGAAACCCTATATAGGGTCACTATGGGTCGGAACCAACTCGACAGCACTTAACAACAACATACCTATCTTTTAGTGAACAAATTTCCTATTTGTGATTCTGTTGGCTATATATCTAGTAGGGAAGGCTGGGTTGGAGGGTAGGCCTGGTTAGTTACAGATAATACTGCCACACGGTTTTCCAAAGTAGGTGTTCTAGTTTAGATTTTCACTAGCTTTTATAGTTGGTATAGTATTTCATCTTAGAGATATATCATGACTTATTTTATTAGTCCCTTATTGTTGGATATGGAGTCCCTGAGTGACGCAGATGGTTCAGTATGTGGCTACTAACAGACAAATTGGCAGTTCAAATCCACTGGAGTTGCCTTGGAAGAAAGACCAGACGATCTACTACTGAAAGATCACAGTCTTGAAAACCTTATGGAGTACAATTTTACTTTGAAGCACATGGGTTATCATTTGTTGGACACATGGATCATTTGCAGGTTTTGATATAATATATAACTTATAAAGGGGCATACTTTCAAGTAAATTTTTACACATGTCCTTGATTATTTTCCTAGAATAAATTGTTAGAGGTTAGGTTTGAATTTTCCAATTGAGTATGAATATTTCTAATTCTTTATATATTGTTGTTGCTGTATAGTTCCTTAGAGTCAGTTTTGACTCAGAGCAACCCTGTATAGGGTTTCTGAGGAATGACTGGTAGCTTTGAACCACCAACCTTATGTTTAGCAGTCTAGTGCTTGTCCTACAGTGCTTCCTTTCCTCTAGGAAACTGCACTAAGTTTTACTTTACTTCAGGGGTTAGCACAGATTTTTCTAAAAAGGGCCAGATAGTAAATATTTTTGCATATGATCAAATACATGGTCTCTTTCACAATCACTTAATGCTGCTGTTGTAACTTGAGAGTAGCCATAGACATTTGAAAACAAATAGGTATGGCTGTGTTTCAATAAAACTTTATTTACAAAACTAGGCAGTGGGTTGTATTTGGTCTCTGGGTCATAATTTTCAAATCCCTGCTTAATTTGCTCATTGGAGTCCATGTACCTATCATGATAAAGCTCCTCTTTTCCCACCATGGGAGCTCACTGTCTGAGAGTCCCACTCTAATGCTCACCAACTCCTTAGAAGGCAGCAGCTAAGCTGTGGACTTGCCCTAAGTTCTATATGTCAGTGTGCTCTGAGTATAACACTTTGAGTCAAATATTCACTGCTGATTAGTATTTCATTTCTTTAACTGGTCCAATTCTAGGAAGTCTGCAAATGTGAAAACAAACACAGAAAACACCGAGACAAAGACAAAAACTGGAAATGAAAACTATGGCTACAGTTCAGTGGAGTCAAGGACCACACGTGAGTGAACATGTTGGCCAAGAGGATGGCCTCCGAAGAAGGTGTTGGAATAGAGAGGGGTGAAACAGCAATGGTGCAAGGCAGAAAGTTGAGGGATTCATGGTCATAGCTTTATGTTGAGGGTAATTTTTGAAAGATGGAGATATTCTAGGACTATTCTAGGAATAGAATAGCAGTAAAATTTCACCTGTTTGTCTAAATCTTGGAGTTTTAAAACATATTTCCTTCTTTTTCTTTGTGAGTTGGCTTCTACCTTAAAGTGTAAGAGGAGGCACCTTAATACCTTAGGAATAAGTTCCCCAGAATTTCAACTGTTGTTGTTGTTATGTGCCTTTGATTCAGTTCTGGTTTACAGTCACCGTGTGCACAACAGAATTTTGGTGTTGGGCTGTAGGACATGCATTGGGCTGCTAATTGCAAGGCCAGAAGTTCAAATGTACCAGCCACTCCTCAGAAACCAGCGTTTCAGCCCCTGTGTCAGTCCTTCTAGTTGGGGGTCTTCCTCTTTTTTCCCTTCCCTTCTACCTTACCAAGCATTATATCCTTCTCCAGGGACTGGACCTTCCTGCCAACATGTCGAATGTATAAGAGACAAAGTCTCACCATCATTGTTTCTAAGTATGAGAAGAATCATCTTAATATCTTGGGAATAGTTTCCCCCAGTTTCAAATAGTTTATAATAAAACTGAAACTGAGCAAGAAATCTGTTTCTAGCAACTTTACAAACCAAGTTTTTTTTTTTTTCTTTTTTTGGTAGGATCTCATTTCCAACCTTTATAGAATGTAGTGTCACAAGCATATCATAAGCACTGCTTGAAGGCAATGTTACTTATAAGTGGCAGGGGTAGGATGTGACTCTAGGTTCCTTTAATAGGCCTGATGAAAGTTATATAAATGACTGAAAGGGTGCCTATCTCCCTTGTTAAAGTCGCCTAGCAAAGCAAATTTCATAGAAAGATTTTCTGCCAATCAACCCTTGCTGGGTAGCCAAAAAACACTTATTTATTTATTTTTTAACCATGATTGAGAATCTATCTTCAACAGACCCCCCTTTTTATTATTTTTTTCCATTTCACCACCTCTTCCTCCTAGCAGTTACCTCATGGGCAGTTACCACCTGACTGTCATTGGAGGCTTGTGTGCTACTGTGACAAAGAAAACATTTTATCAGAACTTCCAGAATAAGACAGACTAGGAAAAAAGCATGGGATGTATGTGCTTCTGGAAATGAGCCAGTGAAAGCCCTCTGGATCACAATGATCCAGTTCCACTGTGCATAGTGTCTCCAAGAGTTGGTGTCTGACTTCACAGCAGCCCCAAACAGCACATCTGCCATGTACATTCTTCAAAACATGCTTCGGAGTTTAAAGAAGCCCATAAGCATTGCTGTGACCTTTGGTAACCTGAATACAGCTACTTGTAGCATTTCCTGCAAGTGAATATGGATTCATTTGTATTTGAGCAGCTAATCAAGTAACTTGATCAAAATCTCAACCAAAACAGATCCCTTTTCCCCCTCTCTCTTAAATTTGCCTTTGGTCACTCTTTAAACCTCTGGATTCATCATGTGTCAGGATGAGACTGATGTGTCAAGAAAGGAATTTATTTTGAATCATTTGGCTATATTTTCTATTTCATTTAAATTAATAAAGATATAAAATTTTGTGAATTTTTTTACATAAGTATTTTTATGGTTAAGGATTATTTGAAGGTCAGGCTAGTAGATCAGAGCAAATGTATTTATTGACGCATCAGAATTGTTAAAGTACATGGCTTGATTTTTGTCACTATCACTCTAAAGTCATTCTTCTGTTGCAGAAATGACATCCTCCCTCCCTCCCAAGTCCAAAGAACTCAGTGTTCAGAAGCAACATAGCAGCAGGCATCCCTACCAGGTGAGCTAGATATTTCTTTTCTTCTTTTAGGAAATTTTTGGCTATATATACCATGAAGTCCTGGTGTGGTGTTGTAGGATAAGCACTGGACTGCAAAATGCAAGGTCATTGGTTTAAATCCACCAGCCACTCCTCAGAAACCCTCTATATGAACCAACTCCACGGCACTTAGCAACAACAAATAGATACCATACAGTTGCTATAGAGAGACTTTGACTCCTGGCAACCCCTTGTGTGTTAGAGTAGAACTGTGCTGCATAGGGTTTTCAATGGGTGATTTTTAGAACTAGATCATCAGGCACTTCTTCTGAGGCACTTTCCTGCAGACTTGAGTTTCTGACCTTTCAGATAGAAGCTGAGTGCTTTGACCTTTTGCATCCCTCAGGGGGCTCCTAATGAGTGGCTGTTGAGCTGATTCTGAGTCACAGTGAGGGTCCTTTGTTGTGCAGAGTAGAACTATTGTATGGCGGTATTCTTGGCTGTAATCTTTATGGAAGCAGATTACCAGGCATTTTTTTCTGTAACAATGTTGGATAGGTTTCAGTTGCCAACCTTTAGGTTAGTAGCTGATCACAAATCGCTTTTACTATCTAGATACTGCTTGGTGATTTTGTTTTTTCTTTTTTTTTTAAAGTGGTGCACGTTTTATGCTCATGATGGAACAACATTGTCTTTGCTCATCTCTGTATCAGTCACCTGTATCAATGCCTGGAGAGAATGAGGCTGAGACATGGAGTATATATTGCCCTTTGGGTAGGGCATGAGTTGACTTCACACTTACTCCATCTGAGTCAGCATTCTAATGAACAACATTTGTAATTTACTGCTGGTTTTCTTTGAATTAACATCTCCTAGGGCATGGTGGTAGTATAGTGGTTACGAATTGGGCTGAGAACCTTAAAGTCAGCGGTTCGAAACTACCAGCTGCTCCGCTGGAGAAAGATGAGGCTTTCTACTCCCGTAAGGATTTACACCCTCGGAAACCCTGTACAGGGTCACTATGGGTCGGAACCGACTCGACGGCACACAACAACAACAACAACAACAGGGCATGGTGTGGAGTCTTGGTGTGGCCCTGCAGAATAATGTGCTGGATCACAAAGTCAATTTGAACCACCAGGTCAGTGGTTCAAACCCACCGGTTGGTCTCTCCTCAGAAACCCTATACAGGGTCACTATAGGTCAGAACCTATTCAACGGCACTTAGCAACAACAGCTACAAGGACTGAGTGTAGCTCTATAGGATAAGCACTCATTGCAATGTTAGTTTGAGCTGCAAATTTGACCATTCAAATGTACCAGTTGCTCCTTGGAAACCCTATACACTGTCACTATGAGTTGGAACTGACACAATGGCATTGACAACAAAGGACTTAATACTAATCACCTCTGCTCTCCTGACTCACCAACATTTATAGGATGCTCACTTAAGGAGCTCTGATAGCACAGTGGTTACAAATCCGGCTGCTAACCTCAAGGTCAGCAGTTCAAAACTACTTTCCGCAAGAGAAAGATGAGGCTTTCTGCTCCCATAAAGATTTACAGCCTTGGAAACCCTGTGTAAGGTCACTATGAGTCGGAACCAACTCCACGGTATTTAACAACAACAACATATACACTTGGACCCTCAGAGACACGGCTCATGGAAGGATGTCGGGTGCTAGGTTTGGAACACGGTGGAGAAAATGTGGTCTCTGTGTACAAGTGGGCTTGAGAGCTGGAGCCATCCAGCCGGAGGGATTAAAGTTTAGGGGAGAGAGTGGGAGTCACACAGTGGATAATTTGCATCCCTGCAAGACTGGGATTACTATTAACTAAAATAGGGAATGTTGTAGATGGAGCAGATTTTAGGGGCAAAGAGCAGAAATTTAGTGTGGAAGTTGTTGGCTTTGAGATATGGCGATTTCAAGTACATAGTTGCATGCACCAGTCTGAGGAGATGCACAAGTTGTAGGTGTTGCTGGACGTCTAACACTTATTTGAGAAATGCTGTCCTTCCAAAGCACAGCTAACTCTAAATTCACAGTGGCTTAGGAACTCTGAGGACACAGAACATTTCATTTTCTGAAGCAGAGTCAGCATTAGTTTGCCACACATGTTTGAGTTAGGGTCCATACGCAGAAAATGATTCTTTAATATTTCAAAACATATCAGACTAATATATAAAACCAGGGCATTTGTGGTTCAGTCCATGCAGGAGATTCGGATTTGATTTCCTGCCAATGCACCTCATGTGCAGTCTGTCAGTGGAGGCTTGTGTGCTGCTATGAGGCTTGACAAGTTTCAGTAGAGCTTTCAGACTAAGACAGACTAGGAAG